CCCCATGTTAAACATTACTCTGTGGGAAATGTTGTACTTGGGAGCACATCAGATTGTACTAAGACTGCTCTAATTAATGACAGGGTCTTAGAATTGCTTTTATTAATTTCTTAGGGTCTGTGTTACTTTTCTCTCGCTGCTGAGATAAAATACCTGACACCCAAAGTTAAAAGGGAAGAGGTTTATTTGGCTTACAGTTCATAGGGGTTTCAGTCCATAATCAGCTGGCTCCGAGGCTGGGATGGCAAACAAAGCATTTCAGAGGAGAAACATGGCATGCACAAGGCAGCAAAGGCAACAAGGGAGCTTCAGTTCATAGCAGTGGAAGACAGCAAAAGCAACGAGGAAGTTTAATAACATCTTTCTGCCCCTTTTATCTTAGACTACCAGGGATTAGGGCCGTGCCAAACTAATCACTCACATGTAGTGGTTTAGTAATCACAGGCCCTCAACCCCAGCATCATGCATTCCAGATTCAACTACCTCTAAAAAAGAAAGTCTCACTTCATGCGCATGAGGCTTTGGGGGACATCTAAACACAAGCCATAACAGGGTTGTACTCTTTATAACTTGTATTCTGTACTGTGCAGAAGTTTATTGTATAATTACCAATACAGAAATGCACAATATCTGTACCACCTTGTCAAGGATAACTGGAGTGGAAAGAGTGTCTGGGCTTCCTAGGAGAAGCTGCTCAAGGTGAACATCCTTGTTGAGTTTACCCAGTGGAGATGTTGCTTGTCAGTGGACTTTTCTCTACCAGCAGAATTGTCTTGTGGCTTGTGAACAATCTTAAGGTTTATGTATGAAGTCAGAAGCCATTACAGGAATAAAATATTGTGTCAGAGATGAATATTATTTTTAAAGTGTGTGATACAGTAGTATTTGTTTTGACTTAGTGTAAACTGAGTTGTAATTATCTTAAATCTCCGTAAGAAAATTAAATGGCACACCCATAGTCTCTTTTGTATTCTCAGATCTTGATAGAAACTGATCACAATTTTTGAGCATCCTCGGATAATTGGGCTTTAAAAAGGGGGAGCACAGTCTTACATATTCCCAGTGATCCTTTAAATAATTGGCTTTAAAAACTTGTATGCAAAACTAGATGAGCTCATCAAAATAAGTGCCCAGGTGAAGGCAGGGTTAGACTTCAGGCACAGTTACGGAGTGCATTTGTTGTCATTCCTGTTCCCTTCTGCTAAAGGGAGGGGGACAGAAGGCTGGTAAAAACATACTTAGCTGACTTGAGGGTAAATCTGGTGAGTCATTTTATTGAAAAATGGCAAGGCACTTGAACAGACCCTTTTCCTGAACAGCCTCCCATAGACTGTCCTCCTACCTGTCTTAGCACAGCATTCGCTTCTGTCCCACGAGTCTGCCCAACCAGTTCCTAGACCAGTAGATCCTTTCTCATAACTGAAAAGGCAAAAAGACCCCCCCCCCCGCAAAGTGCAGGTCCTTGTGTCATAATTTTTGCTTACTTTTCTCTAAGAACATGTATATGAAAAGAAGTGATAGACATCTACTTGGTCTTTTCAGTAGATTCTCAGAGCCTTCACAGTAATACCCGGGGTTCACAGGTTAGGACTTACCCCCCAATATTGAATCTTCTTGGGGGCTCCTGTTGTATAATTTATGGTTTTAACTACATTTCATGGTTTCACTTAATATTTACTAGTTTATAGCTTGTCTTTAACCTCAATTTTTGAAGTTTTAATAGAAATGCATAATACATTTTTCTTTTTCTTTTTTTCTTGGTACCAGAGATTGAACTCGGGACCTTCTGCTTTTGAGGCAGGTGGCGGATTCACTGAGCTAAATCCCCAGCCCTACGTTTTTCTATTATAGTTTGTGGTATACTTGATACCGTTTCTTCCCACCTTTTCCCTGAACTGTCAGAGTTTATACTCAAGCACATTAAATTACAAAGTTAACCATCTTTATTTGGATTTGTACTTATGTATCACACATAACAAGCTGAAAATGTTAAGAGTCAATGTTCCTGCTGGGCCATGCCGTGAGTTCCAGGCCAGCCTGAACTACATAGGGAGAACCTGTCTCAAAAAAAGACTTAATGTTCCTAACTGGTTGCTCCACTTCCAGTAATCTGTACCAGTGGTTCCACTGGCTAAAAAGCAAGCAGGAAAAGGTTTATAGACTGTAGGCTGCTGCGCGCCCCCCCCCCCCATAGTCTGAACTATTAAGCCTAGGAAGGGCTCCATGGAATATTTAACTTTTAAAGTTCTATAGACTATTACGTATGTTCCTTACGTTATAATAGAACTGGGCCCAAGCCAATGTGTTAGTTACCTCCAGGGTTAGCTGGGCAAGGTGGCACATGTTTATAAATCCTCTCACTGAGGGAGGCTGAAGCAAGAGGATCACAAATTCAAGACCAGCCTGGGCAACTTAGCAAGACTTTGTCATTGAAGTATTTTTAAAGGTGCTGAGGATATAGCTCAGTGTAAAGTCCTGGGTTCAATCTCGTACCACAAAATAAACAAGCAGTATAGCTTCTAATTGGTAGTATTTTTAGGAGGCAAGATTGGAATATTCAGTACTGGATTTTATAGGCCTTAGCTTCTTGTCTCAGCTTGGTTCCTCACCAATAAAGAATTCAGAGTAGGTCTTTTCATTTAGATCTTAGATTATTACAAAGAACACATCAATTTCTTACAGTTTGGGGAGGCTAGAAATCCAAGATCAAGGTGCTGGCAGTTTCAGTGTCTGGTAGGGGACTTCTTAGTCTCCAGACAGCTATCTTACTCCATTCCCTCACAGTGGCAGAAGAAAGCTAGAGCATGTTGGGGGTGTACACTGTATAGCAAGGTATTTTAGAGGGACATTCATCCCCATCCATGCAGAGTTCTACTTTCATAGCCTACTTACCTTCCAATGGCCAAACCTACTCATACCACTACACCCTGGAGTTAGGGTCTTGAAGGGAGGGGTTACAAATATACAGGCAAACTTGTAATGATAAAAAACCTGTTCTAATTTCAGGAGATGAAGTAACGAGGGTGAAATCTTTCCACTAGAGAGGTTACAGCTTGTTTATATGAGAGCTGATTCCGAGTTGTTCCTGGCTCTACCTTGTGAAAATTGTGGTCAGATGTCATGTAAAAGTAGTATTCTTTTAAACACAAATGTAAACGGCTTCAGTCTCTCTACAAGATGGTCCTCATCTTAAACAAGTTTTTGGGCCGGGGATTTAGGTCAGTGGTTCCACTGCCTACCTTGCAAGTGTAAAGACCCAAGTTTTATCCCTGGTACCAAAACAAACAAACAAAAAAACGCAAGTTTTTAATAGTTCTTAGGAATGCTCACCACAAAAAGATTTTTAAGGACCATATTATTTGAGCTAGTGGGAGTAAGTGATAATAAATTAAATGGTGATCACTACCATTTAATGAAACTACTGTGGGTATACTGCTGTACAGTCTGTCTCTGGTGATCCTCCGGCTTCATCCTCCCAGAGTGCTAGGATTACAGACATGTGCCACACCACACCCCCTCATTTTAGTTCCTGAGACATTCCTGTGAGACAGGTGGTGTTAGCTTGGGTTTAGGTTTCGTAACTTGCTTAAGGTCACACAGCTAGTAATGCTCAGGTCAGTGTCTGAGCTCTTTCTCTCTTTGGCCAGCCCAGCGTGCCCCCGACCTTCTATAAAAATCACAGTATCACCCAAACTCTTGTTCTGACAAGATCGGGCGCATTCAGGGTGGTATGGCCATAGACCCAAACTCTTGTTCTATTGCTTCTCCCATCCAAAATTTAAGATGGGGGTGGGGGTGGGGACCTGTATACTGTGTTAGGCTCTAAGAAAGTATAGTCTCTAAGTAGGCTTTTTATTCCTCTTCATCTTTTTCTTAAAAACCATGTTCAAGTCCTTTCTTTAATGACCTAGTAGAGGGCCTCTTGACAAGTGCTTATCCTGTTCAGTATCAAAACCCTTTGACAGTGTACTGCCTGGTTCATGAACATTCAGTAAGTGTTTAAATAAATCCAATTCATTTCATATATTTATTTAAAAGCACATCTTTGCTTGCTCTATAAAAATTAAGTATTGACTGGGTATACAGGACTCTCCGAGGGCAGACCTTTTTGTTTCACAGACACATCGTCTTGAAGGTCTGAAGTCAACACAGATGAAATTTTGTGAACTGGTCACTCTGTACCATTCATTACCTTATGCCATGGTCTCCTGGAGGAAGGTCTTTTTACATTAAAGACAAAACCATTTCTCCATTGTTCCACTTGTGATTTGTGCAGCAAGTATATTAAGTTCTTCATGGATTTTAGCCTTTGGAGGGTAAAAATTTTAAAAATTATGTTAATGTACTTGATTACAAACCACTGTGGAAACGAATACAATGCTTTGCAAAGGTATTGTGGCCAAATTACCCAAGACTATTTAATAGGTACCAGGCTTGGATTAATGTCTCAACTATAATGTTTAAAGAATACAAAGGCAGAATTTTATATGAAAATGAAAACTGAATAACCTGTAATGGATACTTGTCATTCTTCACCTCCTACCACCCAGGAAAGATTATAATGTAAAAAGTACAACCACCTATTACATTCTTTTTAGGGTAAGGTTATGGAGATAAAGAGCAAAGAGCTTGTGAGTCAGAAAAATCAAACTTTTGGACTTAAAATGCCCAGTTACAGGCTCTAAGGAAAAACTTTTCATTTGTCAGTAATTTAGCTTCTGTGTGATGTTTTTCTCTTTTTTGTTTACATTTTATGTGTCAATGAGATGTTTGAGATTTAAGCCCTTTCTTACAAAGGAGTTAACATTCAGCCAACTTATTTGGCTGATGGGCTATGTTGCAGCACTACCTCAGGTTCTGCCTAAAGGTGCTTTTTTGGGGGGGGGTAGAATCCACATACTAAAGGGGAAAAAAGAGAGGTGATCTTTCCCTCTTTCAAGACCATGTAAGAACTGGGATGGTGCTACTGTCTACTTACCTGTTGATACATTTTCCCACAGTGCTGGTCCCAAAGGTGACAACATCTATGAGTGGAGATCTACCATTCTTGGGCCTCCAGGATCTGTGTATGAAGGTGGTGTATTCTTCCTGGATATCACTTTTACTCCAGAATATCCCTTCAAACCTCCAAAGGTAAGAAATCCCCCCGATTTAGTTTTTCACAACAAAACTAGACTTCTAGTATGTCTTAAGGAATCTATATGTATGTGAGCATATGACAACACTTCAGATGGACTGTGCGCCTCATTTGGCAGAGACCACATCTATGAATGAGTGTTTTAAATTGTGGTATTTTTGTTTTTATGAGACGGACCTGCTGTGTCAGGCTGGCCTTGAACTCTCACAGTGATCCTGAGTGCTGGGATTACAGGTGTGTGCCCGCACACCAGACAGACTGTATTATTTATAGTAATGTTAGCAACCCAGAATTAATCCCCTATTTTCTGCCTTACAGAAAAAGGCATCTAAAGTTTAAAAAAGTTTTAATATCCATGTGCTGAAACTAGAGAATCAGAATCACCTGCTAAAGCTTTGAACTGCTTTTTCTCATCTTTTGGGTTTGTTCAAATCACCCCTCTGCTCTCTGACTCTAGTATAGGTGGGGAATTGCCCAAATCAGCCATTTCTTGTGACACCCAACAACAGCCTGATTCTCATGGCCAGTCAGAAATAACAACAAGAATTGGAAGTTGTTTAAAAAAACGAACTGGTGGGCCGGGGATTTAGCTCAGTGGTTTCACTTCCTGCTACGCAAGTGCTGCAAAGACCTGAGTTCAATCCCCAGTACAAAAATAAATAAATGAATGAATGAATAAATAAAATAAAAAAACAAACTGGTAATTACAGCAATTTTTACATTGGTTTCTCAGTGTATTTCATAAATACTGTAAAAGTTAGGAAACCAAACAAAATGATGCTCATGTAGCTTGTATTAATGTCTACTCTGGGTGATTTTGGTAGAATGTCTGGATCTGGTGTATGAGTCATAAAAGCAAAAATAATCTCCAGATTTTGTTATAGCTTTTTTGAGTGTGTAGCCATTCTTCGGCTAGTTTTTAATGAGTCTGATATATGGTTCTCGGTGTTTATGATTCTGAAGCTTACTCTGGAACAGTGTAGTACTACCAGCTAACACAAGAGGTCAGCAAACAATTAGCTATTCAAACTTGAAGTGTTAAGGAAGTATTGAACTTTGCTTTTTGTCAGTGGACATTAGTTTTAAATGAAATAGACAATATTGTATGAAAGAATAAGTCTGACCTATCTTGTCAGCTTTAAATTACTGTATTGTATTACTCACCTTTTAACAGCCAAAACAGCTAGCAGTTTGTTTAGGATCATTCAGTTAAAAGTTTGCTGTTTGAACATTGTCTGACACTACCTTATTTTTTCAGGTTACATTTCGGACAAGAATCTATCACTGTAATATTAACAGTCAAGGAGTTATTTGCTTGGATATATTGAAAGATAATTGGAGTCCAGCACTA